TACCAGATAGCAGAAATTCCTCTAAACCTACCTTAATTAAACATGATGGCATAGAACTAAAACTAGATCAATGGATATAATATAGAATCCTTTAGTAGATGTCAATATATGTGAGAATCATTTTTAGGTAAAGAACTTCTTTATGTTTACAAAGCTTAAAATGCTCAAACCTATAATGGACCCAGGCTATGGCTAACTCCTAAACTCTTTTATTTTTATTGTTTTCTTTTCTGAGTAGGTAGTATTCAAAATACCATTTGGTATAGCACAAAATACAAAAGGGTGAAAGTTTTCCTGTTAACCTTCCTTATTCTCCAGCAACCTTGTGTCCTTCTATGAAGACAAACTATGGAACAAAGCTCTTGACTGTCCTCCCAAGAATATGCAAATAAGCATATGTATCAAAAGATATCATTAAGAAATAAACAAGCAAGGCACAAACTAGGAAAAAAATTATAATACATATATCTAATAAAGGATTCATAACCTGAATGTATAAATATATAATTTCTACAAATCAACAATAAAAAGGCAATTCAATTTTTTAAATGGGCAAAAGACTTAAATAGATTCTTTATAAAAGAGGATACACTAATGGTAAATAAACATGAAAAAGTGTTCAATGCCATTAATCATCAGAGAAATGCAAATCAAAAGTACACTAAAATGGCTTAAATAAAAATGGACTAGCCAAATCAAACATTAGTGGGTCCAACTAGAATTCTCATACATTGCTGGTGGGAGAGTAAAATGGTAAAACTACATTGAAAAAAAGTTTAGCAGCTTCTTATAAAGTGAAGCATATATCACCTCTATGACCCAACTTCTTGGTATTTACAAAAAAGAAATGAAAAAATTTACACACAAAACGATTTATATTATTATCTTCATAGCAGCCTGATTGGTAATAACCTGAAACTGGAAGCAAGCCAAACATCCATCAGCAGGTGAATGGATAAATGAATTATGTCGTATTCATACATGGAATACCACTGAGAAATAAGAAGGTACATTGGATACATGCAAAACATGGATTAGTCTTAAAAACATTATATTCAGCAAAAGAATCCATTTATAAAGGAGTACATACTGTAGAGTTCTATTTACATGAAGTTCTCAAACTAATATATGAGAGTAGAAATCAGAAGGCGATTGCCTCTTGTTGAGGAGTTGACTGGATAGGGATGTGAGAGTATTCTCTGGGGGCATGGGAAGGTTCTGTTTGGGGTGATGATTACATGGATATATACAAAATTCATTGAATGAAATAGCTAAAATCTGTACATTTTATGATGAGTAAAAAAAGTGAAACTAAGAGATGGCATAGGGGCCTACAGATAAAAAGAAACTTACCTAATTGCAAGGTATAGAGCTTATTTGTTTTCTGATTTAAACAAGCAAACTAAAAAAATTGAGGAAATTGGAAATTTGAACACTGAAGCTTATTTGATGATATAAATATTTTATTGTTACATTTTGAAGTTATAATTACATTTTTAAAAATAAAGCTTGAGAGAGTGCTGGGGCAGGTGCAAGCCAGATGGACACTGGGTGGCTCTGTGCTCACTGAAGAAAAATAATTGAACACTGGTAAAGGAGATCCTAAGCTGAGAGGCAAAATGTCATCATATGTATTCTTTGTGCAAACTTGCTGAGAGGAGCACAAGAAGCAAGCCAGATGCTTCTGTCAACTTCTCAGTTTTATAAGAGGAGTGCAAGAAGGTTGAAGACCATGTCTGCGAAAGAGAAAGGAAAAGTTAAAGACATGGCAAAGGCGGACAAGGTCTGTTGTGAAAGAGAAATGAAAACTTATACCCCTCTAAAAGGGGTAATGAAAAAGAATTAAAGGATCCCAATGCACCCAAGAGGCCTCCTTTGGCCTTTTTCTTTTTTTATCCTGAGTATTGCCCCAAAATCAAAGGAGCACATCCGGGCCTATCTATTGGTGATGTTGCAAAGAATCTGGAAGAGATGTGGAATAACACTGCTACAGATGAAAAGTAGCCTTATGAAAAGAAGGTTTGCTAAGCTGAAGGAAAAATATGAAAAGGATATTGCTGCATACTGAGCTAAAGGAAAGCCTGACAGGCGAAAAAGGGAGTCGTCAAGGCTGAAAAACAGCAAGAAAAAGAAAGAAGAGGAGGAAGAAAACGAAGGTGAAGAAGATGATGGTGATGAATAAGTTGGCTCTAGCACAGTTTTTCTTCTTGTCTATAAAGCATTTAACCTCCCCCCTGTACACAAGTCACTCCTTTTAAAGAAAAAAATTGAAATGTAAGACTGTGTAAGATTTGTTTTTAAACTGTACAATGTCTTTTTCTGTATAGTTAACATGTCACCGAATGTGTCTTTAGATAGCTCTGTCCTGGGGCATTTTCAGTAGCCACTAACCTTGCCTGGTACAGTAAGGGGGTTGTAAATTGGCATAGAAATTTCAAGCAGGTTTTTGTTGGGTGCACAGCACAACATAGTTATATATGGGAATGGTAGTTTTTCATCTTCGGTTGTCTCCAATGCAGCTTGTATGAAATAATTGTTGTTCTGTTAACTGAATACCACTCTGCTTCTAAGTAAATACAATTTTTTAAATAAAAAAAAAAAAGAAGCTTGGGAAATGACAAAATTATATAAATGGAGAACAGATTAGCAGTTTCCAAGGGCTATGGAGGAGATGAGGTGAAGGGAAATGGGTGTGGCTAAAAGGCTAATGAGAGATCTTGTGGTGATGGAAATGTTCTATATATTGATGAGATTGTCAATATCCTGGTTGTGATATCGTACACAGTCGTGTATAGTTTTGCAAGATGTTACCATGGGGGGAACGAGGTGAAGCGTCCATGGGGTCTCCCTCTGTTATTTCTTACAACTGCATGTGAATCTATAATTATTTTGAAAAAAAAAACTTAATTAAAAAATAAAATGAAAATGAAAAATTTTAAAGTTTAGCCAGTCAAAATAAATATGCAAATAAACAAAATAAAAAATAAAGTATTCAGCAGAGCACAGGGGATTTTTAGGACAAAGAAACTACTCTGTTTATTATAATGGTGGATACATGTCATTATAAATCTGTCTAAATTCCCTTGAGGGCATCATGTTAAATGCAATAAGTCAGATACAGAAAATACTGTATGAGCTCACTCATATTTGACATCTAAAAAAGCCAAACTCATAAAGAGTAGAATGTGATTACCAGGTGTTAGGGGGTGGGGGAAAATGGGGAACATGTTGGTCAAAGGGTACAAACTCCCAGTTATAAGATGAGTAACTCTGGGGATATAATGTACAGCATGGTGACAATAATTAACAATACTGTATTATATACTTGCAAGTTGTTAAGAGAGGAGATCTTAAATGTTATCACCACACACACAACATGGTAATTATGTGAGGTGATGGAAGTGTTAACTAACCTTATTGTGGTAATCATTTTTCATTAATACAATAAGCCATCACATTTTACAACTTAAACTTGAATAGGTTTAATGTCAATAATATCTCAATAAAACTGGAGAAAATTAAAAATAGAAATAAATCAATTTGTCCAAATCCATTGAATATGCAACAAAAAAGAGTGAACCCTAATGTAAACTATGGACTTTGGGTGATTACTATGTGTCAAGGCAGGTTCATCAATTGTAACAAATGTACCACTCTGGTGGGGGATGGTGAGAATAGAGGAGGCTATGCTTGTGTGAGGCAGAGGACATATGGGAAAGCTTTACCCTCACTCAATTTTGCTGTTAACCTAAATCTGCTCTAAAAAATAAAGCCTATCAAAAATAAACAAACAAATAAATAAAATATTAAATAAAAATGGTCAGTACACATAGGAAAATGCATTCATTTTTTAAAAGTAGTAAGTATAATGCAAAATAAAAACAATAGACATAATTTTCTGCTTATCAGATTGACAAAAATAAATAAGTTGACAAAACCCCATATCAATAATGGGGTGGGAGATGGGCAATATCATACACTAATTTCAAGTAAGCTTTCTGGAGGGAGGTTTGACAGTGCGTAAAAACTTGAAGTAAGCCAACCCTATGTTCCGGTAATTCTGCTTCTAGAACATTCCCCTCAGAAAATGCACAAAGATGTGCAGATAGACACACAAGAAAGTTTATCCTAGAATTGTTTTTAAGGGCAAAATATGGAAAACAATTGAAATGTATGTAATTAGTTAAATAAATTATAGTATATACATGTAACTTAATGCCATGCAGTAATTAAAATGATGAAATATACCTATATTATTGACATGGAAAGACATACTATAGATATTGTTAAAACATTTTAAAAAGTACCTCCTCTCTCTCTTAGGAACCCTGGTTTGTTTGGTCCTCAGCCTCCTTGGGGCTAATATTCCCCCTTTCCTGATCCAGAGGTCTCTCCAACACCAGGTTAGGCAAAGAATCTGTGTAGGAAGGATGGAGATGACCCTCTCCTTAGAGCGACCACACAGTCTGGTTTCTGGAATGGTTCTGAATATGAATATTTTGACCTGCTGTCCTCAAACAAATCAGGACACTCCTAATTTTAATGTCCGTTTTATAGCCGTGGAAACTGAGGCCCTTGAAGTCAAAAGATTTGCCTAATGTCTGTTCCTTTCTTGGGTCTGCGAAGGAAAGGCAGCCTGCTATGTGGCTTCCCAAAATGTGCTAGAGGTTGCCAGGAGCAGAAGGATTAAAGGGGTGTGGAAATGTCAGCTGAAAAAAGAGTCGAGCTGGAAGAGGGGGTGAGGCTGGGTTTTGGAAAGAGATGGGTGGCATAGAGAAGGTAAGGCAGGATGTTACCCAAGACCCTCAGCCCTCCCTGCCATAAAGTCTTGCCTCTGCAGACACAACTCTTTAATTAATAGTGGCTATCAAAAGTGGGCCTTCAACAAATGATGAATAAAGAAATAAATAAAAAGAGACACAGAGTTTATTATTGTATTGGAAATACAAATAAAAGAACCAAGCCCTTGGTGGCTCCAGATCTCTCTAAGTCACCCCACATTTGTCAAATGTGTAAAATTCTTCAAGTTTCTCCAAGTCTAGACTGCCATGGAGTGGGAGGGGCCCTATGCCCAATCTAAGGGAATGAAGGCTCATGAACCACCACCATTCTGAGTCTGAGCTCAGCTGTCCACAGGTCTACAGATCTGAGTCCCTGGAGTTCCATGGTGGGGTCATGCATGCCAAGCCCCTTTGCTTCAGAGCTGAGTCTGGGAACACAGAGATGAGCCCTGGTCTAGGCTTCACAGGCGGAGAAGAACTTGATGGTGTCATCTGGGCAGCGAAGTTGCCCTGACCTCTAGGTATGGCAGGACCAAGATCGAGGTGTCACCAGTCCCCAGAAGGTTGTCTGTGCCAGAGAAAGGTGAGTTGTGAATGGGTCCCTCCTAGTGCCCATTTTGTGTATCCAAGACATGAAAGCCATCACCCCCAAACCAGGCCCTGGCCCTCATCTTAGCTGTTGAATTGAGCAACAATAGGCATCTGTCTTAGGAAGGGAAGGCATGTTCTCCTGGATAGGGAGTTGAGAATGGGTCATGGTGCCTTACCTGGGGCAGGGGGCAGTGCTGCCGTGCATACCACTCCTGGCAGTACAGGCTGACCTGGATGCCTTGGCCCAGAAAAAGCATGATCCACATTAGCACGTTCCACGCTGGGCCTGTGTGCCGGTCATGCATCATGAAATTCATCAGCCCTGAGGCAGAAGGAAAGATTGTCACCCAACTCCAGATACCTGTGCCTTGTCTCCCTGGCTGCTCTCCTAGGAGCCCTGAATGGAACAGGAAGATCCAATTGGGAAAGATGTTGAAACCAGCTACAGCAACCCATGTAGGCCTCGAGTAGCTCATGTAAAACCAGGATTCCTCAGTTTACCTTTCAATATCTTGGCTCTCATACTGAACCTCTTAACCTCCATCAATTTTTTCCCCTTTGCCTCCCTCTGTGAGTGTCCTATTCAGATGCTCCTCTCCAGCCAGAAATCTTGCCGCCTCCCGATGCTGCTTCCCTCCCTGCTTCCAGGTCTCTCCTCACCCAACTCTCACACACAACTCTCATGCCTTCTCTCAGAAGGCATGCACATCCTCTTCTGTCTTGGCTTCCCCAAGGAGAAAGAGCACAGGCCTCCTCCCTCTGGGTGAATTCCCCTCCAGTGGCACACAGAAGCCAAGCTCACCTCCAATGACAAGGAAGAGTATCAGCATGACAGGATAGAAGAAACCCAGGACGAAGCAGAAGATGTACTCATGGACGACTGCAGAGACCAGGAACACGCCCAGCATGGCTGCCCCTCGAGCCTGGCCACCAAGGAGCTGGCAGGGCCAGGGTGTGAAAGATGGAGTGAGTCTCCCTAGGACCCCTCCACAAAGAGCCCCTTCCTTAAGGAAGCCAGGAGGGTGTGTGGTACAATGGAAAGACTACGGAATTTAGGGTCAAAAGGGCTGACATGTCTTATTTAAGAGCATTTTATGAGACCGCTGGGCCTTAGATGCAATTTTTAAAAGGAGATACAATACTTACTTCTAATGGTTATTGTGAAGATTAAATGTATGTGACAACTCTTGGTAACTGAAAACTGATATATACATTCCTTAGGAGGGCAGAAAGGCCCTGTGGAGGGGCTGAAGTTAAGGACAATGAAGGAAGGAAGTTAGATCACAAGAAGAATTTTCTGCCCATTGGATTGGGTAGAATGGGAGCAGATGGAAGTCAAGGAGCCCTTAAGTTGGAAAAGGTGGATGGTGCAGAAGGGGAAAGGAGAGGATGTGTCAGAGAGGCTCCATTAACTGTTGGAGCTGAGGGGGTCTGCAGAGCCCATACCCACAGCCCATCCTGATATACGTAGCTGTACAGCCAGTCATGAACCACCACGTTCCATGTGCGGTAGTAGTTGGAGAAAGATGTGGAGTTCCACCAGTCCTGGGGAAGGGGTGGGGTCAGGGTGGGGAAAGAAGGTGAGCATCACCCTGTTTCTTTCCAGGCCCCAGCTTCTCACCCCTGCCCCCTGCCCCGTTTCAATGTTATCCCGCAAGGCTGGATCCAGGCAGAATAGAGATAGCAAGTACTCTCCCAGATCCCTCTTCAGGACCTAGGGTCTTTGCCTTCCCTCCTACTCTCCCTCTTTCCAAAGTACCATCCACACAAAAGCAGTTAGCCCTGGCTGGTCAGGAGATAGAAAGGTGTCATTATAACCACACCCAGAAGAGCGCATTTCCCATTGTGGGAGATAGACAGCATAGCTGAGTCGACACCCGGTATAACCACCATCCTCCCCAGATCCTTTTCTATCCCTCCCTGCTTCCAGCTCCCAAATGGCCTAGGTCCAGGCTGTACCTGGTAGAACATCCTGTCTCCAAATCGTAGCATCTCAGCAAAGGCATTCAGCCAGCAGTGGAGGAAGGCAAAGAAGATGAGCAGCAGCATGAAGATGCCTGGTGAGTGGGGACAAGAGGCTGCAGGTCAGACTGGCCCACCTGGAACCCCCAGGAAGATCTGAGGAACCCTCATCTAGCAACTAAGGACTCAATTCCTACCCATCATTTATTAGTCACTCACTAAATCATGCACTCATTAATTCACCCATTTGCTCATGTACTCCACAACAGATGTTAGGGATTGAAGATGACTCTCATAGCTCCTGGTCATTGAGAGTTCACAGAGTGGTTAGAGGTGCGGGGAGGGGGAGAGAGACTGAGACAGAGGAACACGTCCAACCAGGTATCAATGTCAAATGTATTGGGAGTTAAGCATGGTGACCATTGCTGTGCTTGGGAGTGCAGAAGGTGGGTCATGGTGATTGGCAGCTTAAAAAGGAATGCTTCCTAGAGGAGGGGCATCTCACACGAGCCTCCAAAAAGGAATTGGATTCTACAACTGGGAAGTGGGGAAAGAACATCCCTAGCTGAGAGGTCAGTATGAACAAAGGCCCGGAGGCATGGAAGTGCATGCCTTTCAGGGAATGGCTGGGCTTGTGGTAGGATGTGACATATAAGAAGGGCCTTGGATGCCAGGCCAAGGTTTAAATCTTATCTGGAGATGCCAGCAATGGGGAGTCATTGGAGCTTTTGAAGCAGAGTCAGGAACAATTCATCTGCAGGAGGGAAGTTCACCTGGGCAGCAATGTCCTCAGAGGCAGATGGGAAAGGAAAAATTCAGGTGGGAGGAACACAGATTGGGAGGCTGTTGTGGAAAGGGTGAGCAGATAGCAATCTGAATTGAGATGCTCACAAGAAGCAATGATAGGAGGGGACAGATGTGAAAGGAGAGTCAGAGGGAAAAGGTGTTGAAACTGACTGAAGGTAAAGAGTGAGGGGAAGGAGGAGTTCCCTGCTAAGCCTTCCCCAGGGTGCAGCCTTCTCCAGCCCTGCCTTAGTGGGCATACCTGGCAATGTGGCATGCATGACAGAGAGCACCAGGGCACGGATGCTAAAGGGCTCTTGGCTCATGTTGGCAAAGACAGGAACACAGAAGCGGCCCAGGATGAAACAGGCGTAGAAGATGCAGCCCAGGGCCTGGAGAAGAAATAATGGACACCTAACTTTGAGAGGGAGCACCAGCAGCTGTCCCCTTACTCTGGAATTGGACTCCAGCCCAGCATCTGCCTCCTCTTCCCTTAACACCACCCTTTGATCTCCTCCCCAGGCTTCCCCCATCCCACTCCCAGAAATGCCCCTTCAGCCACTATGAGTCACAGGTGGTCTACCCTTCTAACCTATCTTCTGACCTGGGCAAAGTTCTTGGCCACATAATTCCACCTGATGTTGGGTGTCCTGCAGCAGCAATAGAAATGATATGTTTCTTGTTTCCGGCTTAGGTGGGGGCCCAGGTTCTGGAGTCCTCTCTCCATAACCCCTCAATTGCTCAGGTCTGGGAGGATTATCTGGGGGAAGTGGGAGCCTAAAACACTTTGCACCTAACGGAGATAGCAAATGGATTTTTAGCTTGGATGTCAGCTAAGGTGACAAACCATCTGGTGTTTGCTCCAGATTGAGAGATTGTCTAGGACCTACGATTTTTAGTCCTTAAAATCAGGACAGTCCTGGGCGAACCATGACAGTTGATCACCCTTGTGTCACCATGGGCTGGGTAAGGAAGAAAAGTAGTCTACCTGCCATTTCTTTCCCAACTTTGTGATGGGATGCTTCTGGACAAAGTGGCCAGTGTCTGGGGTGAGGCTAGAGACTTCAGGGAGAGGAGAGGAGGGCAAGATCTCTGATAGGCCTAGGCATTTAGGGAAAGGGTACAGGATCTTACCTGGGGTAAGTCTCTCTGTAGATGAGTGTGGGGCAGAAGAGGAAATAGAGGTAGCTGGAGAAACTGGGGGCCCAGACACCCGCACCTGGAGGGGAGTGAGAGGAGTCCATCAGTGAAGGGGGAAGGAAGAGAGGGCAGAGGTGAGGGGGGCTGCTGGGGAAAGGCAGTGGAACTGGGAAGTGGACAGCTGGACAGGACAGAGGTGCAGGGGCTGAATACTGGGTCTAGAGATGGAGTTGGGAGGCGAAACTGGGCAGGAGCTGAACCTGCTCTCTAATACCCCTATTTTGCTTCCATTCCATGCACCCCATTTTCTAATGCTGGAGCTTTATTTGGCACCTAGAAGTTCCACCACCCATTCTCTCTCTCTTTCTGTTTTGACTTCTTAATATAAGGTTCTCATAGCCTGGGTCTTTCCAGGTTAGGCCTGGAAACAGGAAAGCACCAGAAGTCCTAGGCAACAGTGTGTGCCCTCTCTCAAAGGTGGGACCTGAGAATACCTAATGTCTAAGGCCCACAGAGTCCAGTTGGAGGCCAGAACTGTGCCCAGTGGGCAAGATAGGCTTAGGAAGTCAGAGCTTTAATGAGGATCCTGTCGCTCTGGCTGTATTCAAACAGCCAAGAAGACTGAGTTCACAGCAGGGGCAGCTGAAGGCCTCACCTCCTCTGGCACAAAGGATCCCAGGCACGATCTCTCTTAGGAAGGAGTAGCTTTTCATCAGGAGCCTGACCTGACATGGAGCGGAAGGGAGGTTAAGTTGCTGTGTGGCTTTGAGCAGATCACTTAACCTCTCTGTGCTCTCCTTTGTGTATGTGCGCGCGCGTGTGTGTGTGTGTGTGTGTGTGTGTGTGAGAGAGAGAGAGAGAGAG